GTAACATTACAACCTCTTATATTAAGGACTGAGCATTTCTAAGCTCCTGTAGCTTGGAAATTCTAGCCTTCATTTGTGAAATGGGCTTCAGAGAACTGCATAGAAGCTCTGGTGCAGTGCCTAAGGCATTTGACTGCTAACCAGAAGGTTGGCAGTTCAAACCCACCAGCTGTTTGGGCAGAAAGAAGATGGGGCAATCTTTTTCCACCTCGGAAACCCAATGGGGGAAACCCTATTCAGAGAACTCAGTAGGACTCTGAAATGGAACTATATTGCATCTGAAACGCCATGTAAATGATTAATCAAGACTTTTTACAAATAATCACAATTTTACATTTTGGCAAAAATCTGACCCTTATTTTGTCATCTGAAAATTGATCAATATAAATAGAGTGTAAAGGGAAATCTGCTTTTTCCTTTTTGAGGAAAATCCAGAATTACTGACCCTTCCCAGAAAACAACAGGTTAGCAAGATGACATATGCTCTAGTTAGGGAGAATTATTTTGACAACAATGTTGTTCTATTTCTGCTTCTATATTTCTGCTTTGAAGCACTTTGATAACATAGAAGTTTTTGGGTTTTTTTTCCCCAAAAAATTTTTGGCCTTCCACCCCACCCTCCTTTCCTGTTGTAAATACAGTTTTGTTATCCTGGGACTGCTTAGTTAGCTTTACGCCTGCTAAGCTAGCTAAATACAGCTAAGATGTAAATGTGTTTGTGATCGGAAAATAGTTGTAAGAAAAAACAGAACCACATTTTGGAGCTGCCTCATCTCTGTGATACAATAAAATGGTTAACAGAATTCCTGAGTGTGGTTAAAACCACTAGGTTTAAAAACCTTGAGGCTGGCAAGCTCGCTTTACTGCTGTAGCGCCGTGATCTCTAATACTTGTTTTAGTGTGCCACCTAGTGGTTCTACCTAAGATTGCTGCCAGGCCTATCTTAAGATTTTTCTACAATTTATGTAGTTTGTTTGGTTTTCTTTAAAATAATATAAAGTCCGTTGAGCACTGAGCTGCCCACACATAGCAAAAGCTACTAAATCCAGTGCTTCAGTTCTCAGTCATATGGAAGACACTTTGGGGTCGCTGCAATCACTCCTTTCTGATTCTAGACCAGAAATCACAGATGAAGTGAATACTAATAGCAAAAGTTCTCAGATTTGGACACAGTGGGTACAGAATGCTTTGGTGGGGGTGCCGAATAAAACCCTTTTTGAGTTGATGTGATTTTCTTTCTAAATGTGGTTCCTTTCTAGCTTATCTTCCCTTTCTACTTGTTTTTGACAACTCACTGCCATCGAGTTGATTCTGGCTCATTGCAACTCCCTTTGGGTTTCTGAGGCAGTAAATCTTTATGGAAGTAGATTGCCCAGTCTTCCTTCTGTGGCGTGGCTGGTGGGTTTGAACCTCCAACCTTCTGGTTAACAGGCAAATGCCTTAGGCACTACTCCAACAAGATCATTTTAGGTGGTGGTGGTGGTGGTAGTGGTGGTATGTGCTGTCGAGTGGGACCTGACTCAGCGACCCCCTCCTTGGGTTTCCGAGGCAGTATCACTACAGAAGTAGATTGCCCAACCTTCCTTCCGAGGATTTTAGGTATAGGATTAATAAAGTTTAAAATTGGCACACCGGTGTGTATAAGGCTGCCCTTTTGCCATCCCCACACCACACCCAAGAAGCTTTTATTAATAAGTGTTTTAAAGGGGAGATGAGAAGGGAGGATGGATGTCAGAGGCAGGTCCTGCTTCTTGGAGAAGAAACAGGAAGAAACTCCCTTTTTTCTGTTGCTCTAAAACTGAAGAGCAAGAGATGTATCCCTCTTGAGGTCAATCCCCTCCTCCCTTAATGTTAAACTTAGGTGTATCATTCCAGGTCTGGTCTTTGCATATCCTTCCTCTTCTCTTGCTCCAGAGCTTGTGACTATCACTAGAAGTCTACCTTATCAGTCATTTTAGAAACTATTCAATTGAGAACATGGACTGTTAGGTATGTGGGTGGGCAGTGAATTTCAGTCTGTTCATAGTGAGGTCTGAATTTTGCACACAGACTTTTCTTTATTGCCCAGTGATGCATTATTTAGCTAGGAATTTTAAAATGATAATGTTCTAATTTTGTTGTTCCTTCTTCATTTATTACTCAGAATACTTCTCTAGTGAGAAATTTTCCCTTCATCAATTTAGTTACTGAGGTATGGCTTTGAAGGAACAAATACACTAATTTCCTTACATTTAGATAAAACATGAAAGTGAAAAATTAAAGAACAAAAGATGATGAAAATAATGTCTTTAAATGATTATATATGTATATGTGTGTGTATATGTATATGTGTGTGTGTATATATGTATATGTATATGTATATGTGTGTATATATACACACACACACACAGTGTTGTTATGTGCCTTCGAGTCAGACCTGACTCATAGTGCGACCCCTCCTTGGGTTTCTGAGGTGGTATCACTACGGAAGTAGATTGCCCAACCTTCAAAATTTGTTTCTAAATGGATTCAGTAGCCTTTGCTATAGGTGTTAGAAAAAGTCATTGGTGGCTTTGTGAGCTTAATGGTACAGTTAGAATTTGAACCAGGATGTACTCCAGAGCCATCATCTTAATTATTCTAGCTGCTGCTATTACTGGTAGTAAAGGGTGGGAGCCTAGCTAAGAAGCTTTGATGATACAGTTAGGAAGTGACAGGGCCCTTCTGCAAGCTTTTTAGGTAGAACTCAATCTAGACCGTGTTTACCTTCCCACCCAAACCAGAGTGAGCGTTCATATAGGATGTAGGCAGCTGTCAACAATTAAACTGAATTTAGTCTGAATTTCATCTTAAGGAAGGAGGGGATTAACCTCTAAGGCTAGGTATGTTAGCAAAGAGGCAAATACCAGAAATTGGAACCAACAAACTTAGTGCTATGTGTTCAGTATGTGTATCCAAAAAATGGTGTGCATGTATTTGTTAACAGACATTATTTAGAAGGCATGGAGTTTAATTTTTTTCTTCCCCCCTCTTATAAATCTCATTGGGTCTTCCTGAAACCCTATGGAGAAGGTAAGGGAGATACACAGTGCCAACTTGAGTCTTCCAGGCCAGGGCTAGTCCCATAGCTGGGAATGGCTTTGATTTAGAATTTCACAGAAGATCCTGCCTGGTGGAGTGGATGAATCTGTAAGCATGAATTCAATTCAAGCGGGTTATGGGAGGTGGGGGTAGGGGTGGTTGGTAGGTGGCTACAGCAGAGACACAGTGGGGCTGCTAAAGTATCAGACCTTGCTGATGTAAACAAACAATCACACATCTTTTGTTTACGTTCTGCTATGGAGCATCAGGACAAGAATTCTTAGATCTTAGAACTGTGTCCACCTGACCAGCTGCAAGGCTGGGAACTGGGTAATAATAGAGCCAAGACACAAAAGGGGTTTTCATCCTTCATTATGAAATATCCATTTTTCACTGCCTGTTGGGGTTTTGTTCTTACTGGGCTACATAAGGGAGTAGTAGCACCATGGATTTGAGCGCCCTGGTATGAAGTAGTGTTGCCATATAATGATATATCTATCCTGTGATGTAGGAAAATACAGTTTGGAAGTCAAGGCCTTATTTTGAGCTAATGATAATGCTAATATATTGTCATAAGACCCAGAAGAGGCTTTCGTCGAAGATGCGACAAAATATAAAAACTATGCAGTCAGTATTTCATCATTGTATTTGAAATTAGTGTGACCCATGGAACATGGATGTGATCAATTACAGGATTGCATCATGGAGGTGGGGGTGAGGAATTATGATACTGAATACAGAAAGTAACCTAGAATCAGAGACTTCTGCAGTTTTTCAGGTAGGACTCGATCTAGAGCGTGTTTACTTTCCTGCCCAAACCAGTGTCATCTATAAAGACCTTCTGACCTTTAACCAAAGCAGTGAACACCTGACCAAATTTAGATAGTAAATGACTGAAGCACACTTTTGAAGATCTGAGCAGTAGCGAGGCAATGATTCTGTAGCCTGAGAAATGCAGTTGAACATTGAGCAGGCAGAATATTGTGTCCTGTGAGGAAACAGTTGCCTTGATGTAGACTAGTATAGAACACAAAAGAGCATGGAGAGATAATAATAGAAGAGAAGCACAAGACGGGATCATGGCGGACATTTCCTTTACAATTGGCTAATGGTTGCCTGAATTCCATAATGAGGAGAAACTGGAGTGAATACCAAAACACGCTAATATTCTTCATATGTAAAAAGTGCCTACAAAGCAATAAGAGTATGCGTGGGGGTGGGGGGCTCAAGACCTGAAGGGACAGTTTTCCAAAGAAATACAAATGGCCAATAATGATGGGGGGAGGGGATGCTTCTTGTTTTAGGTAATATTAGAAGCAACTTAAGTGCCTAATAAAAAAAGGGGGTAAGTTGATAAACTGATCTGTTCACACAGTGGCACACTGGATTGGATGATGTGGAGCCATACTTGTTGAAAAGGAAATATTTTCACAGTATTGTCGAATGAGAGAGTGAGTACTAAATATTATGAACGTTATGATCCCATTTGAAAAGATGTTTAGGAAGGATAAAAGCAAAACTGTTAATAGTGGTAGTTCTGAGTTTTCTTTTTGCCTGTTCTCTCCTTCCTGATTTTTCTGTCATGAGCGTAAGAGAAAAGGAAAGGTATTTAACATTCATATGTAACATGAACTTCTATATTGAGTTGCACAGCAAGCTTAAGCAAGCTTTGCTGCTCGGGAGGAGCTGTACATGTTGTTCCAGAAATGTCAGGGTTTATGTATTTGAGTTAGGAATGCTGGTTGGCTCTCTACTGGTTATGATCATGGAGTCTGGTTTTAATTATATAAAATGGCATCTTTCATAGGTAAAGGAAACAGATTCCAGCCATTCCGGGGAATGGGGGAAGAGGCGGAAAGAGGAGTATTACATTTTATTTTTCCTAGTTTAAATTTAACATAACCTCAAGATTTAGACAGATATCTTGTTTTGTTTTCTAGGCTGAACACCAGAGCACCTTAGAAGGTTTAACCAAAAGAATGCTAATGTTTGACCCAGTTCCTATTAAGCAAGAGGCCATGGACCCTGTCTCGGTGGTAAGTTTTGCAACATTGAACACTTCTCTTACCTCAGCCTAAGTGATTAAAAAAAAAAAAAAAAATACTGTACACAACATGTGTGTTTTTCCTTCAAGGTTCTCATTACTCAACAGGCATTGGGTAGGCAAACTTTTCTCGAAGTCCATGGTAGCAAGTGAGGTGTATAGTCACCTTGCAACTGCATCCTTTAACAGGATTCATGTTTCCTTAAGACCGGTGTCCCACATCCCCCAAGATATGATCAGCGCCAAACTTAGGCCATAGAGGAATCTGGCCATGACAGAAGTAAGTTTACAGAAACTGTCTAGTCCTTTTGTATATAAAAATATGTTAAGGATGAAATTATTTGCTTAAACACCATTGACAACAGCCATATGGAACTGTGATTGTGTGAGGGATGACTGAAGAGAAATGAACAAGAGAAACTACTTGGCAGTGAGGGTGGAATTCAGTTTTGCTTGGAAGAGTCGGGCTGTGTGGGAATTGTGTTCATTGTCCTTTTCAACACCTTATCCCTCGCTTAAGCCAGGCCATGCTAGATGCCTTTTGGCCACCAGGGGACTAGTCATTAGTCCAGGTGTTTATTTAGGTACAACACAAATACCGTGGAGATGAGACGTGAGTGACAGCAGAGTGCTGTCCGACCTCAAAGCAGGGTGTGGTTTCAACTAAGAAGATCTGGTTTAGTGAATATTAAATAAACACGGCACCATTCCCACTCTGTCATGTTCTTTTCTTCCATGGGCTTGGAAAATATTCACAAGGGGGAGAACTTGGCCTGAGTCGTGTATCTGAAGGTTGATAATGACACACTTGCAAAATTAGGTCATCTTTATGTATTGGCTGTGGAGGTTCCTGCCAGAAGTGTTTATACAAGACACAGGGGTCACTCTTAGGCTCTTGGAACTAAGTTACCATGGATATTACTACCCCCGGGAAGTGTTTCCCAGTGTTTGTAGTGAAAAGCTAACTAAGAGTAGCTCTAAGGAAATGGTATTTTATCCTCCAGCCTGACAACTGGATAACTGAGTGTCTAAATATGATAACAGAGCAATAAGTTTATTCGTCAGAAAACTAAATTGATTGTAACATTACTCACTGCTGTCATCATGGTCCTCAAACCACCTCCCCCCACCCTCAAACTATTAACATCATATTGGAGGAAAATTAAGTAATAAGGTTGCTCCATTAATTATATCCTTAAAATATGAATTAGTTTTTAGTCCCAGAGAATGATGAAGTTTAAAACGATGCAGAATCACCAGTGATGCATTTTCTATCCACTGTGCTGCTGGTGTTTTAATCAAGCATGAGAAGAACCTAATTTAAAGCTAAAATGAAGATCCACATTGCTAAGTTGGCATGATAATAAAGTGCAGGGAAAGGCACTTAGCTGAAAAAATGGGAAATAAAATGAATTTAAAGTAACTGCTATGCTTGTCATATTGTAACTTATATTAATATAAGAAGCTAAAACATGCAGAAGTACTTTTTACAAGGAATGATGTTTTTCTCCTTTAGGCTCTGGTTTTCAGCTTCAATTTGCTCATAATAGGATTTAATTAGATAAGTTTCACTAAATTGGGGGGAAGGGAGCGAACTTTATAAAGGACTAACACTAACTTTTTGTAAAACATAACATTTGGGCAGTAAGGTGTTACAATTATTTTAAATTATTTAAATTAAATTTAAAGCTTTTGTTTCCACTCTTATTACTTTTCATCTCTCCTGCCATTATGGGTGGTGTATATAGAATGGAATTTCTTCTTTTTTTTTTTCTTTCCAATTTAGTCTTTTAGGCTAAAGTTTGAAGTCTGGCTATTCAAGTCAGTGTTGTAAGCAAGAAGGCTGTATTTGACATTTGTAAGTTTTTTGTTTTAATTCTATATATGAGTAAGAATATTTTCTGGTGAATTACCTTTTTCTTTTTTCCTCCCCTTAAAAAGAGAGTGCTGCAAAAGCAATCTGCTTATAGTTTACAGAAAGTGAGGAAGTGTCCCTTCTCCTACTGAAATACAAGCCTTCCTACATTCTTGGCTAAACCCGTGCTTTGAAGCAGATGGTAAAGCTTTGGGTTCCCATGTTAGAGTTTTTGAGAACGAGGAGCGGGATAGACAACCCTCTTCCAGGTTGAGAAGCCCTTCAGCGGTCCATACGGTTAACATGCTTGACTGCTAACCAAAAGGTTGGTGTTTCCTGTCCACCCAGAGATGCCTTGGAAGAAAGGCCTGGTTATCGACATCTGGAAAAGCAGCCGTTCTACTCTGACACAAGTGGGGTTGCCGTGAGTCTTAATTGACCCCATGGCAACTAGTTTTTGGTGATCTCCGTGTCTGCGCCTGGGACCTCTGCTACTTAGTAGCCATGTGATGCTGACAAAACCACCACTGGTTCCCTCTATGTATAAAACTGGAGATGTTCAGCTGTAAAATTGGAGATGGTATAAAGGAATTGTTTTTACCAGCACATTTCCAAAGAAGGCTGAAACTTAAAGGAGTTAATTCAGGAGGTTAGAAGGGAAACAAAAAAAAGTATCCCCTTTCTTGTCTATTGCTTTAGGAAGATTACTTTGAAGAAAGTGTATTCCCATTTTCCTTTTTTTTAATGCTAATTGTCACCCAATAGAGGCCTTACAGATGGAGAAGTACTTAAAATCAGTAGTTGCTCTGCTCTGTTCTAGGAAAAACTTTTCAGGACTTTTATGAGTCTAGTAGAAAGAGTGCTTTCTGCTTTTGTTTGCGTAGAGGGGCGTGACGTTTGCTGTTTCCAGAGTGCTTGTTTATAAATGAACCCCGCCTTCCTGTGCTTGGAACCCCACCCTTGCTGGAAGATTCCTTTGACTTGCCATCGCCCTGTCCCAGATGTTCAATTTTTTTTTTTCACATTAACAAAGACTGAAATAAAGACCTCATACATGTTTCAGTCGGTCACTGCACCAACTTAAGCTGTCTTGTAATGGAAAACTCACTAAAAGTAATTCCTAATAAAAGAGAAACTATTGAAATTCTCACTTTAATATAAAGTAACAGCTAGAGCTTTAGGAAATTGCCCAAACCCTATGCGTTTTTCCCTTTCACAATCAAAATCATCTTTTTGAGGTTCAAAAAAATGAAGACTTAGCAAGTAGTAAAACCTAGCTAAGAACCCAAACACATTGCTGTTGAGTTGATTCCAACTCATAACAACCCTATAGGACAGAGTGGAACTGCCCCAGGAATTTCCAAGGCTGTAAATCCTTCTCCCATGGACCGGCTGGTGGACTCAGACTGCCAGTCTTTTTGGTTAACAGCCCAGTGCTTGAACCACGCTGCCACCAGAGCTCCTTAAAACCTTGCTGAGAGTGTGTGTTAATTCACAACTGTTCACCAAACAGCTGTGCCAAGTGCTTGAGTGCCAGTCAGTGAGAGGAAGCAGTAAGCAAGGGAGAGACACTGGGAAAATGTGAACAGTTGAGTACCTGTCATCACAGAAGGAAGACCCCTTTTCTTAATAGATTTTTTTGGAAAAGTAAAACCTATCACCACTCTTAATGAGGGCTTTCTGGGTGGAAGTGGTTAACTACTAATTGCAGAGTTGGCAGTTTGAATCCAACTAAAGCCACCTTAGAAGAAAGGCCTGAT